TCGTACGTAAAAACAAATCTTTCGTATATTTCCCGTTTCACAGTCCTACATGTATATTGAATTTTACCCACAACTCAGAAAGTTGACCAGCGCGGGGTATACTTAAACCTCTTATTCTAGATGTCAGGTAACTTACTCGTGTTTATGTTGGATTGCTGTCTGATTGACGAATATCCGTCATTTTATATATATATATAACAAACAAATTTAAATTATATATATATATAGTGTGTTAAAATTACATCGTTAGGCAATCTATATATATATATATATAAAGAAAAGTTTAGTAGAATCCGTATGCTGGTAACATATAAGAAAATTAATAAAAGATAATAACGGTTTCAATTCATCACTTTTACTAGCGCTTTCACTGTTTTTACAGATCTTCAGGTAATATATATATATTTAAATTTGTTTTTTAGGGATGCATCCAGTTGCACCTTTTCATTTAAAATATATTTCCGTGAAGTAATCTCAAAAGATTACTCACTTCAATAAAAAATAAATAAGGGAAATGAAACCTCTTCTCGCATGTTGCACTTTGTGTAATTGTTCTCTTCGACAAAATACTGCCTTGAACTCAATGTTGGTATAAATATAAAGAAGCCACATTTGGTTCTTAAATGGATATTTTTTAAACACCTAAAGCTAGGTAAAGCCTATCTCTTGATATAGGCTCTTAAATTTGGCAACTTTTAGAGACCGACCGTGCTTGGGCTGTATAGCCAGTCAAGGTCGCTAAACTCTCATTATCCGTTTAGAGATTTTCTGAAAATACGATGGTTACTGTCTCATTAGAAACTAAAACCTTATCAAATATGGTGGCCTTCGGCTGTCATCTGCTCTTTTCGGGTTGTTGTCTCTTTGACATATTCATCATTTCCATTCTCAATTTGAAATTAATAAAAAATATGATAAACAGTTGTCGGATCAATATTTATTTAAGAAGCCAGTGCGTTGATACAGGTTATATTCTACTGAATTTACTATATCCGTTAGTATTACGTAATTATATTAAGTCCCGTGTCCAGGTAAAAATAACAATTTGTGGTTTGTATGTCAGGTGAAAGTGACAACGGGTGGTATGTATACTAAAATGTTTATCGTCTTCCATTATACATGAGGGTGTGGATGGGGGTTTATAGAATAGAAAATTATTGACCAAAAAATAAAGAATGCAAAAAATAACCAGACAAATATATAGAAAAGAAAATGATGAGGTACTAGAATATATGGAATAAAGAATGATCGACAAAAGGTATAACGATTAGAAAAAATTGCCTAAAATGATAGAATACAGAAATAATGAATCCCCATTCAGACCCTCATAATCTGACGATGACATTTAGCTTTAGGACAATTATGGGCATGTGATACAGTTTTAGAACCACAGTGATTGGTTTTACAAAAGTTCACATATATACAAGCTAATTTTTACAAAATCAATTTGTATATGTAATAAAAATTATATCTTCATGTGCTAAATTTAAAAGACAAATGGGTTTGAATTATTCGACATTAAAAAATTTTACTTATAACATTTCGGTTTCTTGGACATTTTTGTCCTTTGAACAGACATCCTTAACTTTTTTGTTTCAAAAGATAAAGATATGCGGATTTCGGTAAAGTGATTAGGAATATCTTCGTTATAAAATTGGGCTCTACATTTGTGTAACAATTCTTTGTTAATATTTAATTTTTGTGAAAAGAAATTGATACAAGAAGAAAAAACGGTATTTTTGTTGTATATTTATCTAGTTAAAAAAAAGTCGGTAATTTCTTCATAAAAGTTGCAACGAATAATCTTCTTACAGTATCAAGCAAAATGTCATGTCTAAAATGAGGGGGCCATAACTGATAACACTTTTTCCTTAAAAAAATGAAAAAATAATTATTTGGATAAGAAAATAACCCAGATATTTAGATATATTAGAATAAAAATATTTTTTTAATTTTTTAAAAATCATTTAATATTCATCGGTTTATGATTAAATGAAAAATATAGAAAATTGTTAAGTTGTTTTTAAGGAAGGAAAATAATGTTTGTCCCGAGAAAAAGACCCCCCCCCCCTATAAATTATCATTAATTTACCCAAGTGGGGGCTTAAATTTGGAGACCGATTGCGAGGCCTGACTGCCATAAACAACAGATAACGAACAGCAAACAGTGGATGCACCAATTGATATGTACGAAAGACACTGAATAATTTCAACTACCATTGAGATCGTTTTTTTTAAATCTCCTTATCAAATTAGAAATGCATTTTAAAAAACCTTGGGATATCTTTTACAGTTTGGAATTGGAATTGGAATTAAAAATTGCATTTCCCAAAGAGTTTCAGGTAAAACCCCGAGAATCTCACTCCTAGAAATTTGAAGTGCCAGGATGTTTGAAAATATGTATGAATTTTATTACATATTTGAAATTGTATAAGGAATATAAAAAGATTCATTATGTTTACTGTACAAACAAACAACAGACACCAAGTGATGGATACAATTGTGGCTTATATTGTTAAATTCATTTTTACTGAGAGCAAAATTTGATTGATTGATTATTCAGTGGTTGTTTAAACGTCCAGTGGCAAATATTTCACGCATATTCAGGACGAAAAGTCGTTTCAGAAGTATATTATGAAGTATTTGGTATTACAAATGTTTAAATTTTCTCATTATTTGGTAAATATCATTTTCTTAGCTATTTCTAATTAATTTGTACGAATCAGATTTTTCTGACAAATTATATATTTTGCTCTAAATTAACTCATACGATTCGGAACATTGTAACTTAAGTAAAAAAAAGAGATTATGATTGTTTAATCAGTTGTTATGTAAGTTCGCTCGTGTCAGTCGGATCACTGATTTTCGGCAATATCAAGGAAAAACCGGCACGCTCCAAATATTGTTCAACTAATCATTTAATGGTGATTCTTTTTCTTTAAAAATTGGAATTTATGTAATAAAAATCTATCTATCTCTACCATAGTATGAAAACAGAGTACAAGTAACACGTCCTTTCTAGTCTTTAGTGGCATATTAAAAGTCCTTAGCAGTGTTTAGACGTACAGGCAGAAAACAGTCGAAGGCCACCCATGGGTAGAAAATCCCGCACCGAAGGCGTTTTTCAGCTGGTCCCTAAACAAAAATGAATTTTAGTTCAGTGATAATGGACATCATACTAAACTTCGAAACATACAAATATTTCCTAAATTTCGGAACGTAAACATATGATAATTAATAAGTTGAGGTTACAAATTTAGGCTGATAAAAAGAAAGGGGGGGGGGGTGGTCTATGCATTTGAATGGGAACATATGGTTAAAACCACCCCTTTTATCCTGGGTTGAGAACCCTCTTTTTAAAAATGGCTGGAATCGCCACTCTTTAAAACGTAGCAATTTAAAAATTATTTATATTAAGTAGAATCAGAGACATATAATACATTATTATATGTCTCTGGTAGAATCATAAAATCGATGAGTTTTATAATTTGACAACACTCATTGATATTGGAAATACTATACTACAATTAATTTATTTAATACATGGAGTGTTTAGTAAAACTGTCGACCAATCAACACAGAAAGCGAGATATCTAAAATTTGTATACCCTTATAGATTTTCATTATCATACATCAATTTTAAATGCAATTCCAAATAAAATGGCTTTGAGAACCGTGTATTAAGCGCTTATCGTTCATTCGTCAATGAATCATTCACCGTGCGTGTATCGTGCGTGTATCGTGCGTGTATCGTGTGTTCATCATTCATCGTGCATCGTGCGTGTATCGTGCGTTCATCATTCATCATTCATTTTTCGTTAATCCTCCGTGTAACGCTCATCGCTCATCGTGCGTGTATCGTGTATCGTGCATTCACCGTGCGTGTATCGTGCGTGCGTGTATCGTGCGTGTGGTCAGTTTGAATTTTAGAAGGTCTGTATAAACCTGATCAGATTAGACGTGACTGTGTATTTAAACATCCCGCAAATCCAAAACGGGCGTTCACTTTGCAAGATTCTCTAATATGTGTTGAACATATGATATTCATAACACTCATTAGCTCTGTCAATCTACTTCGTCTATATTCAACCATAAAGATAGCATGAATACAAAACTAGTCATCTCTCAAAAATAACTCAGTTCTAAGTTAAGGTGAGTACACAACTAATAAAGGATATTTAAACTGTCCATGACCACTAAAATATATTGCATTAAATTTCAAATAAAATAATTAATTATTTGAAAAAGCTCATATCGAATAAGAACAAATATATTTTCGTTTCAGAACAAGAGGCCATTGAACTCCATAAAGGTTTGTCAGCTATCCATGTATATGCTGTAATGTTTTCTATGGAAGATGTGACATCATCCAAAATTGATGATTTGTTAACAACAAGTTCGCTATATGAATCAAAGAAGCTAAATTTTACAGTTCTTTGTCGTTTAGAATCTTGCCAGAGTTTTCTGAAAAAGGTATAACATGTGACATCCGTTTGAAGCATTTTATGGTAGCAATTAAGCTTTTGACTGAAAACGACAAATTATTTGCAATATGTTTGAAAAAAAGCATAGAATTTATGTTATATGAGAATATCTCAGTTTCCAATTATGCATATACACACAGCAAAACTTCAAATGAAAACTTCCTTGACCAACAATAACAATAGCAAACCATCATGAATAAATAAATGATACTACTAATAAAAAAAAAAACAAAAACAAAAAACAACAATATATAACAAAACATAAACAAAATAAAAAAAAAACAACAATTTATGAGAACCAAAAACAATAATCTGGCTGAACTGATCTAGTACAATACGGATTTTGAATTATACCAAATACTGAATTAGTGGAACGGCCTTCTCTTTCACCAACATGTTTTAATAAAAATTACATTCTTGTACTATGACAAATATTTCACTTTGAAAGAACACCTAGAAATTATATTTCATAGATAAACCGTATGTAAATGATCTTTTTCTGTTTTCAGCCTTTTGACTATGGAAGAAAAAATGTTTGGCGAAATGCGTTACTTCACTTTTCAAGATGGCTTGTTGCTATTTTTCATTCTGGAACCTTGGCAGTTTTAGAAACCCTTAACAGTTGTCCTTTCGACAACGTTGTAGTTTTACAATTGCCAACATTCCATATGTACAAATCACAGATTCATTCCAAAGTAAATAACTTCATCTTTAGTTCCATATACATTTGTTGTAATAATTTATTAATAAATTGACGAAATCAGTTAAGTAATTTTGACAATGTTTATTGTATTATTGGACAAATGTCAATTTACATGTATCTATTTACAAGTATTCAGAAATCTACAAAACAAGATGGATCCAGATTTGCATTAACTATTCTACATATAAGAAAACCCGGTTACATGTAACTGGTAAATCTGTCATAGTTGAAATTAAAGGCAATAATGGGCAACTTCAATAGATCAGTATCCATCTTTACAGGTTAATATAAATCATGTTGCAATTGGCATTTTCTATAATTATTTCTTAAAGATTGATGAACTTTAATAGAATCTTCGAGAGTACAAATCATTTGTTATACTGCAATACATTTCAGCTGTTTTGCAATTTACCCCAACGCGGATTTAACGATCAAGACTTGCTTTAAGAAAACGAAGTACCATTCGAGTTACCACTTGATTTACTTTATGTATGCTTGGTTTTTTTAGTTTGGAAACCAAGTTCACAATTTTTGTAATTGGATGTCTATACGTACATTAATGTGGAGGACAGATAGGAGAGAGTTATCTACCGTTGGGTATGTCAACGTTAAAGGCACATTACTGGCAGAGAAAGATATATTTCCAAATGCCAAGTTTGGTTTCAACATGAGAAAGCTTGAGGCTAGCACCTTACCCGTAAGTTCATATTTCATACATTTAACGCGATACAGTTAAAGAAAATTTATATTTCGAAGTACCGGAAATAGCTTATTTGCTCAAATAAAAAAATATTTTGTGATATTTTGATAAGTTAAATGAACGATTCGGTTGTTGGTAGTTAGTGCTTAATGTAGAATGTATTTCATTGATCGATTGTTGGTAGTTTACTTAACGTCCAGTGACAAGTATTTCATATATACACAAATTGACGACAGTTTTATCATATACCAATGTATAGTACCAGGAGAGGAGGGCGACTAATTTTATGTATCCAATAATATGGTCTATTTTATACAATACTTCCATTGCAATTAAAGAGGGTCAAACTTTGAGGGCCCATTCTTTGTATAATATGCTCAAAATGATCAGAAAATTAGTAGCAACGTCAAATTGATTAAAGATAAAAACTAAAAAAATCATGATACAATATTAGGGGTAAAAAAAGTCTCCCTCCAAATTTGTTATTAAGTTTTGCGATGTTCATTTGTAATCAATTATGACATCAAATTCACAAGTTTATCAATTGTGTTCGTTTTATGCATTTTTGTAACTAGACCATGAGCAAACAATTGTAAAAAATTGTGACTAATAAAATTGAGAATGGAAATGGGGAATATGTCAAAGAGACAACAGCCCGACCAAAGAGCAGATAACAGCCGAAGGCCACCAATGGGTCTTCAACGCAGCGAGAAAATCCCGCACCCGGAGGTGGTCCTCAGCTGGTCCCTAAATAAAATTGTGTACTGGTTCAGTGAAAATGGACGTCACACTAAACTCCAAAACATATAAAGGATCCTGACTTGGGACAGGCGCAAAAATGCGGCGGGGTTAAACATGTTTTCGTGAGATCTCAACCCTCCCCCTTTACCTCTAGCCAATGTAGAATAAAGAAACACATAGCAATACGCACAGTAAAACTCAGTTAAACAGAAGTCCGAGTCCGATGTCAGAATAGGTAACAAAAGAAACTAAGCAAAATGACAATTAGAAATAAATTAACAAAGGACTACTACCAGTTACTGACATGCCAGCTCCAGACCTCAATTAAACTGATTGAAAGATTATGTCTTCATCATATAAAAATCAGGTACAATACCTCCCGTTAGGGGTTTAGTATCATACCATCATAAAATATATGAGAAGAACATAACCCGTATCATGCCAACAACTGGTTTTAGAATAAATGTGTTTTTTTCCGATGCAAAGACCCTATGAGTGAATCAATATTAATACCAAAATATGCAATCCTTAATGACCTGACAACAGTATCGTAACTATATCCCTTCCGAATAAGTCTGTTGAAAGGTTTGGTTAGCTTTTGAGGTGAATGCCGACATTTTTGTGCTTTGTAAAAAATATTTCCATAAACTATTGGATGTGAAATACCTGAACGTATAAGATGTCTGCATGTTGATTTATATTTACGAATGATGTCCTTGTACCGATGATAACATTTAATAAATGTTTTGACTAGTTTGTGATATCGAAAACCCTGGTGTAATAATTGTTCAGTAATACAGAGATTTCTTTCGTTGAAATCAAATACGTTGTTACATACACGAGCGAATCGAACAAGTTGAGATATATAAACACCATAAGACGGTGACAAGGGAAAGGTCACCATCTAAAAATAGATAATTAACAATAGGAAATGAAAAATCATCTCTTTCATCATACATTTTGGTATTAAGCTTCCCGTTAAAGGTATAAATATCAAAATACAGGAAAGGGCAGTGTTCATTGTTAGTATTAGCTTTATTTAAAGTCAGTTCGGCAGAATAAATTCTTTAGTGTACATACTGAAGTCGTCATTATTGAGAGCCAATATATCATCTAAATATCTAAAAGTGTTATTAAATTTTTGAATCAGATGTTGTTTCGACGGGTCTTTGCTGATTTTAGTCATAAATTGTAACTCATAACAATACAGAAACAGGTCCGCAATAAGTGGTGCACAGTTAGTTCCCATGGGAATTCCGATAACCTGACGATATACGGAATCTCCATAGCGAACAAAAATGTTATCTAGTAAAAATTCAAGGGCAGTTATAGTATCAAAGCAGGTCCAGTTGACATAGTTCTTTTGTTTGTTGTTACTAAAAAATGACCTTAAAGAGTTCGAACATATATATTCGCATTCCGACTTTTTAAATGCCCATTTAATCAGGTGTGTGATTTTTTTCTTAATAAGATTATGAGGCAAAGTGGTATATAGGGTAAAAAAATCACCAATATAAGCATGCAATTTATCAAGTACTTCCAACGAATTTTTGACACTCCAAAAGTAATTAATTGCACTATTTTCAAAGGCCTTATTTGAACAATTTATTACCAGGTTTTTGATTGTACCAAGTGTACTAGTAAGTAGAATAGATAGTTAAGTAGTGGAACAATGGCTTGAAGACGAAATAAATCTATATTTGTAAGGAGTTTTGTGCAGCTTCGGAAGCCAGTACATGGTTGGAACTTTCATTGTATTTGGTTCTGTAGCCAAAAGTTTATGTTTGTTACAGATGTCATTTTCCGAAAGTTGAGTCAGTTGAAATGTTGGTGAATTTGTGATTTCCTTTTTTAGAACCTCAATGTAAAATTTACGTCAAACAATAATGATATTGTTAGCAGCCTTATCAGCCGGGACAAAAACAAATTCCTTGGCGAGTTCTTTTAGCTTATGTTTGATACGAGAAATTGGGCTATTATGGTTGTTGTTAGGAGTAAAATGTTCTTTAAAATGTTGAATACGTATATCAACTATGTTCATTATCGAATTAAAAAAAGAATCTAATGATTCCTTGTCAGCTATTTCTCGTTTTATTCTTTTAGAGCAGTAAGTACGGAGTGAGTCGTGGATGATGTTACGACACTCATTCCAATTAATAATTGACGGGGGACGATATTTAGGTCCTTTACTGAGGAATGATTTCAACTCTCGGTCACGAACGATGTTAAGGTCTCCAGTTATAACATGGGAACTGGGGCCATAAATGTATTCGGAATTACTGCAATTTCATGACGTAGGTGTATTGTCACTGATATTAACATCTTTACACACTTCGCTGTAATTAAACACATATTTCCGGGAAGATGTTTTGTAAACATAACAAATAAGAGGGAGTTCAGTATTATCAAAATAGCCAGGAATTTGTTCTTTAACAGAATGATCATTAAAAATACCGGCAATATTTACAAAATCAAAACCTTTATTGACATATCTAATTTTAATAAAATGTTTTTTGTGATCTTCAGGGCGATCAATTTTTGGAAACAATTTAGAATAACAATATGCAATTATAATTTGGACGATTTCATTTTCAATTTTGAACCATTCCTTCAAAGTTTAAATACAGTTTAGATGTTTAAAATTTGACCAACATACATGTAACTGGAGTTCGTTTGAATTCACAAACGAATGAAAATTTAAAAAACACAAACTTTAAAAATAAATCGAGATTTTGTTTTACTTTATCTTCAGTCAGAAGTTGTGTTTATGGAACGCCACAGCTGTCTTATGTGGAACTCTGATATTACGTTATGTTGTTCTATTATTACTTGATGATATTGTTAGCAGCCTTATCAGCAGCCTTATCAGCCTTATTAGTCTTTACATAATATGGTTTTGACATTACGTAATGATGTTTTGATATAACTCAATATGGAAAAGTCATTACTTAATGATATTTCGATATTACATGATATGGTTTCGTATTGACTTGATATAGTTTTGTCATTACTTAATATGCATGGTTTTGTCATAACTCGATGTGGTTTCACCATTATTTAATGTGGTTGTGTCATTAGGCAATGTGGTTTTAACATTACTTGATGCGACTGTGACATAACGTAATGTAGTTGTTTCATTACATGATATGGTTTTGTTATTTCGTAATGGTGATTTGCCAATTCTTTATATTGCTTTAACATTACGTAATGATGTTTCAAAATTTGACGATTTTACACTACATGATGTGTTTGTTTCAGTATTTGATGTGGTCATGTCATTCTTTGATGTGGTTATTCCATTACTACTACGAGGTAAAACCACGTGACCATTTTGGAAAAAAATATGTTCTGTTTTTAGACCGATTTCCATATGGCGTTTGTGTAATGCGCTTTGGATGAGTACCGCTATCCATTAAGTTAAAGTTTAAATTAAAGTTCAAGTTGTTGTTCATAGTTATTTGGTATGAAAAAAAGGAACGACAGACAAAAATAAGAAAAAAAGTACTAAAAAATTAACAGTAATTTGGACATATCCCAAACCATTTGGTCCTGCCGTTTTTTCCTTAGTTCTCAAATGGAAGCTGTAAATTAATAAATAAATCAAAGATTCTTATTAACCCTCTGTCTCGCCGGATAATTCTGCTGTCAGTGTAAAAGCGTAAATTAAATGTTGACTGACTGTACATTAACCGGTACACTTAACAGAGGAAAACATGTTTTTCTGTAGATGGTTTTATCTTGATCTTGAAGACTAACTCCGATACAAGTTTTATAACAATTCATGGAGGTTTACAAATTTATCATGTCAAAACAGTTTAATTCGGTAATATTTAATGCATTAAAAAAACCTTATATAGAAATAAAGAAATGTGGTATGATTGCCAATGAGACAACTCTCAACCACATACCAAATTTCGAGTTGAACTTCGAGTTTGAGTCACATTTAAAGATAGAGTTCCGAATTACAATTGGACTTCAACTTTTAAATTGAGTCACCTTTTGACTTAGAGTTCGAGGTAAACCCTTATTTGTGTCTCATTTAGAGATTAAGATTAAGAGTTGAAATTCGAGTTATCTAATATGAGTTCTACTTTTTTTTTATCGTGGATCAAGGGCTTTTGCTCGAGCTTCCGAAAAGAGGGTTCAGGGGTAGGTATGCGTACAAAAGATAAACAATTTTACAGCATACAAAACACAACATAGAAATTGAAATAAAGTTAGATGTGGTGTGATTGCCAATGAGAAAATTATCCACC